GATAAATGAGAGTTATATTAAGGATATTGAGGGAGAAGGGTGAGCACCTGCACCTGCTTAGGGACTTGATTAGAATTACTTTCAGGAAATGGTCCAGTAATTTGATCGGTTGGAGACTCATTTTGATCAACGCTTTGATCAAATTCAGTCTCATCTAAACCAGCAGGATGTAAGATACCAAGAAGATATGGGTTGAATCTGATGTTAGTTTGACTCGGTGAACACAAATGTAGTTATGATGAATAACTATTTTTCAGTGTTCAATCAGCCACCTCCTCCATATCAGGGCCCCTCTGAGTTTTAGTTGTACTTCTCTGATGTTGTTTCTATCAGACTTCTGCTTGTAATGTGATGTTGTTTTTTTCTTTCAGTTGATGTTAGTTGTGTTTATTGTTAGTTGTCAAGTTTTTCAATATGATGATTATGTATATTATTTTGGAGTATTTTCACTTGATATAATTGTACTTATATTTTTAAAATCCTTTTGATATCAATGAAAAATGACATGTTTTGCAAATTTGATTTTGTTTTTATTTTGAAATGTGATTTTACCTATATGAAAAGCCTTTTATAATTGATCTAAATTGTGTTATAAATTAACTTGCATTAAAAAATTAATTTTATTATAAAATCTAATTTATCAAAATTTTAAATTAACTTATAACTCAATTAAGTTAAGTATATCAATCTCATATTTTTTTAGACAAACATAATTTGAATATTCTTATTGCTATTTTTGATGTCTTATTATTTTTTTATTTCTTTTTCAATATAATTATTTTTGTTATTAGAGAAATTTAATTTTTAGATTATTGATTTTGAAAAGACCAAATAAAAAAAGGAGTATATCAAAAAGAAATATACAGTGTGTACAAAAATAAAAAAAATACACATTGGTTCGTAAAATGAAAAGAGGCACAAATTTAGCCCAAATAAAAAAGATGCACAAAGTGTGCTACAAATATTTGAAAAAATGCGCAATATCACCAATTGAATTATTTATGTTCTTTTCTCTATCGTTTAATCTATAATTCAAATCATTCTAATTTTTAATTATATTATATAATAAAAATTGAAATTAACTAATCTTTATTTCATCATTTTTGTAATAATCATCCTTATCTAATTATCTAGAATGCATCATGACCTTGATAAATTTTTCTTATCTAAGTTATTCTTTAATTTAAAAATTTTAAATATTTCTTTTTCATCTTATGTAATTAAATTTGTTATTTCAATTATATTCTAATCACTTTCAAGATCAATTATTTTGATTTCTCATTTGACATCTTTCATTTTCGATTTTCTTGTTCCCTTTTTGTTGTTGTCAAAAGGGGGAGTAATAATATTATTTTTGAGTTTGTTTTTTATATTTTATGTTTGTGTTTTTGTATTTTGTTATTTGTATTAAATGTTTTTGTTTTATGAATTTTTTAAAAAAATTGTGTGCTCTTAATGGAATCTCCCTATATTCAAATGTTCATTCTTTTAGGAGGTGCTAAAGAGAAATTTAGGATAGAAATGTTAACTCAAATAATAATTAATTTGCCATCATAAAAAAAGAGGAGATTGTTGATATTGTTACAAATTAGTTTTTTTATTGTTGAGATTCTTGCAACATATATATTTTTGATTATTCAAAATATTATTATTTTAATTACAGTTTCTCCTAACATTTTTTAAATGTATTGTTTTTTTTTTGTACTAACATTTCAGAGAAATCATACTCTAGATTATTGAAGAATTCAAATCAAATTAGATTAGGATTCATTGAAAATGAAGTATGTATTTTTTATTTTATTTAGTCTGATAGAGTATGATTGTAATTGAGTAACTGTGCGCACACACACGCACACACACTGGAGGAGAGTTTAAAAATTCAATTTTTTAAACTAATCATACTGTACGAATTCATTTCGTACGGGATGATTTATTCTGTTATTTCCTTCTACGAGCAGTTAAACAAACTATAGAAAGAAATTTTTTTAAAGTGCTGGTCATACTGTACGAAGGGTTCTTCATACAGACGACGTCTATAATACAAATTAGACAGGCCCCTTTTCATCCTGATGAATTTAAAACTTTTTCTTAACTAATCGTACTATACGATTCCTTGTTCGTACAGACGATGTCTAGAGTACGAATTGGACGGGTCCCTTTTCCTCTTGACAAATGTCAATTTTTTTTTAAACAGATCATACTGCACGATACCTTGCTCGTATAGACGATGTCTAGAGTGTGAATTTGATGGGTTCCTTTTCATCATGAAGAACACCAATTTTTTTTGGAACGGATCGTACTGTACGATGCCTTGTTCGTATTGACGGCGTCTAGAGTACGAAAATGTGGCGAACCTTTTCATCCCGACGAATTAGAAAAATTTTCTTACGATTTGTAAAGTACAAATTTGATTTATACTGGACGGTTATCATTTGCGAAAATATTTCATGCAGGTTCATATGCAGCAGTTTTTTGAATTGTTTGTACACACGAAGTACGATCGTAAACACTAAAAAATGGTAATTTTTAGTTTTCTAGATGATTGTTAATGTCTTTCATATAAAAAGACAATTAAATCTGACATGATTTTTTTTTTGTTCGTGATTTTTCAAGAGCAAGTGAAAGAGTGTTTATGGGAGAGTGTTTGAGCGAGAGTTCTTATAAGTGGAGTGTGAAGGGATCACAAGATTACTCAAATGTAAGAATCTCGTTTTGTTTTTGGTTACTACTTTCATTTCTTCTTTCTAGTTGCTCGAGAGAAGATCTTTGAAAGGACCCTGGTTCTTTGCCGACCCTTGAAGGGTGTGAAAGGACATCAGTTCTTTGCCGACACTTAGAGGGTGTGAAAGGATACCGATTCTCTACCGACACATGGAGGGTGTGAAAGGACGACAGTTCTCTACCGACACTTAGAGGGTGTAAAAGGACAACGATTCTCTGCCACACAAGGGATTGGTGGAAGAGAGGAAAATTGTAAAGACTTCTCCGCCTTATTGTGCGGTCAAAAGGAGTGTCACTTTTGTAATAGTGCAATACATAAAGAGGGAGTTTTCAGGAGTGGATGTAAGTCTTGTTTGATCAAACCACTATAAATTCTTGTGTTCATTTTATTTCCGCATTTTTATTTTTTAACATTTTAGTGTTTGTTGTTGAAAAATTAATTTTGCAAAAAACATAAAAATCAATTTTTTCTTAATTACCAAGAAAATTTTGTAAATACCAATTCACCCCCGTTCTTGATTAGTCTTGGGACATTATCATAGGTTTAACAACCTATTCGAATTTAACACCACTAAATCTCCATATTATTTTTTTAAAATTGGGCTCAAAGATACATTACTTTAATAAAGAAAAATTTTAATTTTGCCAGATGATTGAAAGTTTAAAAGGATAAATTCACAGCTAAAACCACCATTAATATACTATTTTAGTATTTTTCTATTTTATGCTCATCTTTATCTCCTAATCAAATTTATTTTGATTTTTTGAAAGTTTAATAGCAAGCCCACATCCTACCATGAAGCTTTCATTGACATGTCCACTGCAATATCCGAAGTTGAAGCAACATTTTTATTAAAGTCATTAAACATTAGTAATCAAACTTATTATGGGCTTATTGGTGATAACATGCATTGAAATTGTTTTCCATGATGATTGCTAATTATGTTGGTGATATTGGACGTCGATCTTGTTGGCATTTTAGGAATTAGACTAAGCAATGGTGGTTGGTCTAATTGGAAGCGTTTAGCATTTATGTTGATGTTTATGATATATGTTGATGATAGGCGTCGGTATTTGTGTCAATGGTGAACTTCTATAATGAGACCCTAGTTATAGTGCATAGGTGTACCTAGGAAAATCTAAATTGACTTGGTAAGAATTTCATGTTCAAGTAGTTTTTATTTATTTTCTATGCAATGTCATTTTATGTTTAAATGAGTTAGAAAGGAACTTAAGTTGAAAATTGAATGAGATCTTCAAGTTATAGAAAAATCCCTTACGGTGCTACATTACTATATCAATTGGTGGGCGTTGAGGCATAGAAGAGCGAAGTGGGGTGTTGACTCTCTATTTTTCACTGTAGTGGTGATGCATCACTTTATCTTAGTGGAAGAGCTCAGCAGCACTCTGGAGGGTGGAGTAACAAAATTTGTCTGAAAAACACCGAAAAGTTCTCCAAATTTTTTTTTTCGATTGAAAATTCTTAGTTTTTTTGTAGTGCAATTGGCTGATTCAGTAGAATAAAAAACTCTATTCTTGCTTCTTCATAATCTTCACAATTGTTTCCAGATAATTGTTTCAATAGAATAAAGATCATTTATTCTTGCTTAGGTAATATTTATATAAATTTCAAATATTCCTTACAAATTTCATTGATCTTTTATACAGAAAGATAAGAGGCATTTCTGAGAAAATAAATTGAAAGATAGCTAATTTTTAATTAAAAAATATCCTAAAAATAGTAAACACTTATGATTCAAAGCTATTCCAAACAAAACATAAAAAGCTAAGAAATCAGATGAACAGACTATAGATACACTTCTGATTACCATTCACAAATAAGGATGTTTATTAGACTTCACATATGGTGGCACATTGCTGAAGAAAACAACTAAGACCCAGCACCACTATATATCTTCCGAAAATATTTAGATATATATAAATGAAATTGTACAAAATAGTATATATATATATCATCCTCAGCCATGTTTCTTCCTTATAAACACAAGGAAATGACTTTTAAGAAAAAAAAAATATATTTACAGCAATTTTTATGAGTAAGGAATTTGAGTGGTAAATAAATAACAATAAAATTTTAAATTTTAGAATTAAAAAAAAAAATACAAATTTTTTTAGAGGAGCAAAAGAGCATAAGACCTCGAGAGCTTTGGCAAGCTATATTTAATTGAGTTGAAAAAGAAAGAAAGAAAAAAAAAACATGAAGAAATTATTAATCATATAAATATCATAAAATCATGCATGTGATAAAGCACCCAAAGTTAATCAACCCACTTAATATATTTCACTTTCAGTAAGTGATTTTCTTATAATAGAAAGTTTTCAGAGAAATTAGCATCCAGCCATTTGATTAGCCCACACAAAGCAACTGCTAGCGATAAGTATTTGTCAAGAGAAACATTAGATGTCTTTGAAAAAGACTGGTCATTAAACAAGCATTATATACTTGTGAAGTTAGATTTACAGTTTGAAGTGCTCACTAAGTAGGGGCCAGCACAAAAAATGGCTTCGCTAGTTGGCATACTTAATATTCTGCGAGAAAAAAAATTGTTAAAATAAATAATAAACAAAAATGCAAATAAAAAAAAATAAAATGACAATAATAATATAAAAAAGCAAATTAGCATGCAGGATACTACTAGCCTACAAAGCATACAATATAAGCACTTAATGCGTGAGAGGTAACATCAACGGTGTTGTTTCACGCTCATCACAACCATACCTAAACCAAGTCCTTCATTTCAGGAGAAATTATTACGTGCGAAGCTCTCATCCGGATGCCAATGAAAAGAGGATATGTCGTCAATACACACACTGTGTATAACTTTATACACATTGTGTGTGCACACACTATGTATTGCAATAAGACCCATTCCTATTGGTATCCAGATGGCATTTGGTATAATAATTTCTCGAATTTTATGGGATATTTCATGGAGTTCCAAACAAGTTCAATGGAGTTTGGAAATATGAGGTTCAGCCCAATTAATGCAGCGGTTATTCAGAATTTTAAAAAAATCTGGATAAATAAAGATATGAACTTCAAAGAATATGAAGCTAAGCTGAGCTAATTTCATGACAATCGTATCTAGTAATTTAAGGAATGAGAAGTATATATATAAATAGATATTCTGATGCATATAAATTATTTAGATTTGATTGAACAAAATTGTCTTCCAATTTTCAATCTCCTGCGTGCAAATTAACCCGAGTGCGGAACAAATGCGACCAACTAATTTCAGGATAAGTCATGGCGTGAAGCATGAAATTCTTTGATTGCTTCTTTTTTTTGACCAACTGAATAATTTTTTTGGTTTGCTAAAGCCCCCTTTATTCAAATTTGACACAATTGGGACTCTATTTTGATGCGGAGTATTTTAGCTTAAAATATTTCTTAGGACATCTAATTTAGTTTTTTATAAGTTTCTAGAATCTTTTAGGTTTCTCTAGGTTTTCTTCACTTGATTATTTTATATAGACTGTGTAAGAGGAATGGAGGTATTGATAAATAGTATTCTCTTTTAAGCCTTTGTGTTTGTCCTTGGATTGGGAATCCCTTCAAGTAGATCCATTCATCCGACGATCCACTACATCAATTGATATTAGAGCCTGGAGCTTGCAAAGAATGATGGATGGCAGCAGAAGGTGGGCTGTCGACGAGGGTCAAAGCCGAAGAAAATGGGCGATCGATGAAGATCGATGTTGAATAAGATGGGCTGTCGATGAAGATTGACGCTGAATAAGATGGGCGGTCGATGAAGATTGACGCTAAATAAGATAGGCGGTCGACCAAGATTAACGCCGAAGAAGGTGGGCAGTCGACGATGATCGAAGCCTTCAAGCTTTTTATGCAGCTAAAGTGAATGCATCACTTGCTCAAGTAGACAAGTTACTTCATTCCATAAGGAGAATACGAATGTCGTCGACAACCATACCAACCTCTTCGTCTTCGCTCCACTCATCCGCTTCACGAGAACGCCACCAGTTCCGCAATAAACGCGTCGTGGTCGATGACTACCCTCCGCTCAACCTTCCTCTCCGATGGCGGAATCCCCTGCTCGACCATTTAGTCTGCAATCAAACCACGACTGTCGTCCACGACTCGCCTTTGCTCTAGCTCCATTCCGTCACTCATGGTTTCGCCTACGCCTTCTCTTGCGATCCGACTCCACTCTCACGGGCACAACCTGAGCCCATTGGCCCGCTTCCATCACCTACCCAACCTCGTCCACTCTCGCATGACTTATCACTCCCGCTTCCGCCTCCCGGCATAACTTTTGCACGATGTTTCCATAAAACAAGCTCCTCCGCCTCCACAGACAATCGCAACTAAATCAAGCCCAACCATTCCCGCACTCCAGCCTGATTTTGCCTCCACCCCCACTTCGGCTCCGTGTTCGAGTGCAACACCACTTCCAACTTCCTCTCTCGTGCCCACGGCCCAAGTAAATATATCAGCTTGTTCCAATTCCGCCTCTGATTCCTCTCTCCACCAAACCAAAGGTCCTAATCTGCTACCATTCGGCTCCAGTGATGAAGACCCTCCTTCACCTACAAATAGTGACACCAAGTCACCATCTAGTTACTCTGAGCAACTTCTTGAGCAGTAATCGCAACAACAACCGCAAAAGATGATTCCTAGCGATGACTCTACAGCTGGAACAGGAACAACAGAAAATCATCAATTCAAAAATGCTCTAGAGAACAATTGCATTGCTGTTTTGAAGCCAACCACGTCATTTGATTCAAATCAGGACAAATCTATAAGCAAACACAAGTGTGCGTGTTGAAAAGATAAAATGAAACCTTGATGAAGGCGTCTTTAGCTCTAACATGTCTATTCCCAAGGTAGAAGATAGACGTCAGCCCACAAGAATTGTGGTTTGAAAGCCTAATTCTACCGATATTCACAAAACAAAAGCTATTTTAGCCTTTAACGTTGTCATATTAGTTCCAGAAAGTAGACAAAGAAGTGGAAATTTGAGAATTGATGATGATGTAAGATCAAGATAAGTAGATCACAACAAATATTTAAATTTCTTGGATATAACCATCAATGGCACCTTGAAGCACCTAAATGCGCTTTAGAAGTGGTGTTGCATGGAGCTATAGAAGAAAGTAGAAAAGAAATTGTTGCATGGACATTAAATCATCTCATGTTCGACATAGGGAATATCAGCCAGGTGTACAAACAACCTGCATAAAAAATACATGGAATGGATGCTCTAAGAAGATTGCTTTTTGTGTCGTTATTTCGTGATATACTGCATGATGGCAGAACAACAAATTATGCTATACAAACAATGATAAAATCATATGTTCTGCAGAGGAGGAAACTCAAGCTAAATCAACATCTGTTCTGGCTGAACTCTTTGATTTTCATAACAACTTTAGAGTGATAACTGCAAATACATTGTATGATCACAGATGGGTGATGAGGAAGGAAGAATTATGGATAAGTATGATTGATACTGTGGAAGCAGTGAAGATATAAGGAAAAATCTTTTGTCACCGTTCAAAATCTTCGACCCAGGATGATTGATTATAATTTATACATCTCCCTCCCTATAACATGCCTCAATGGAGTCGAGCTCTTTTGACACAATGGGAGAATGATGCGGAACATTTTAGCTTAAAATATTCCTTAGGACATCTAATTTAGTTTGTTACAAGTTTCTAAAATCTTCTAGGTTTCTCTAGATTTTTTCTACTTGATTATTATATATAGAATGTGTAAGAGGAATTGAGGTATTGATGAATAGTATTCTCTTTTAAGCCTTTGAGCCTTGTGTTTGCCCCTGGATTGGGAATCCCTTCAAGTAAATTCATTATTCCGACAATCCACTACATATCTGTTATGATTAAATTATAATTGCTCGTTAATTTTTGTATTTTAAAAAATTGAAGTTAATTTTTTCAAATTTATTCGATCATTACATTTTATTTGGTTCTAATTCTCTTTTATTTATTAATTGCATTTAACGAAAACAAGCTTTTAGCTTATATCATGGGTTGTGGTATATACTAAAAACATCACAATATTACATCATTCTAATTTGTGATAGAAAATTATGGCTCTAAAAAATCTTGCATCAATATCACAATGTTTGTTCTCTAACCATACTAAAAGGAATCCAGAAAACGTGAGAAAATATTCATGCATCTGCACGTACTGATGAAATTACCAAGCACAAGATAAGCCCCTTAATATCTTTGTGGTGCAATTAAGAAACTTGCTTAGAATCAAAATTCAAGGGATTAAACCATGCTGACTTAACCGCAAAGCTCACCTGCTAAACTTTACTCCACATGTGAAAAGCGCCCAACATCACTACTTCTGCAAGAAAAAAACGGAAGAAAATGTGTCAAAAATGGTAAGCACCGTGTAACAGTTAAACATTCTATAAGACCGTGTCTTAAAATTCTGTACGTCAAGTTGCGCTTATCCCAAGGTATGGTAATGATGCAGTACAGCATAATCCTGCTGGGATATCTACAATATGCACTCGTACTAGTTATTCAAGATGCTGGCATTGCCGATGAATGAAATTTTCAGTGACTGTTTGTTTGGCGTATTAGGGATGTAACATAAAAGGAATACGTAAGTTTTGATTTTTAAGGTAAATTTGACATAAAGCAAAACAAGGCAAAAATTTACTATAAGGAATTTGGAATTCCTCAGATGACTCATTTTTTTATTAAACTATAAATTTGTCCAAAATGAGTTAATTCCTAAGCTAGTGTCATCATGAGACCCATTGAGTCCCCATCCTACGAGATGCATCCTCTTAGATGTTTGCAACCTTGAATTTCCTCCAACTCCGATGGCCCCAACCATGATTTAAAATTGCGCAATAAGAGGCGCGCCTCAGCGCAATTTTGCCCATTTAAGCCTCAAAGCCTACGCAATGAGTTCAAGATTTGAGGCATACGCCTCAAGTTTACTGAGCTGCGCCTCGCCTCACGGTTGAGAGGCATCCGCCTCTAAAAATTTAAAAAAAAAAAAGCTAACATAATATATATTTGTTCGGTTCAGACCCCCCAACCCCCGCGCGGTCTTCCGTCATTTCCCGAAAATAGGTTTTATCCCTTCTTCTTCGAGCGACCTTTTTCCCTCTTCATTCGGTGTCGGCCTCCTTCCACATTGAGTCCCTCTTCGCTTATTACTTTGAGTTATCTTCTACCGCGAATTAGGTTGGAGCTATCTTCTACCACGACCTTTTTCCGTCTTCGTTCCACATTGAGACCGCTAGGTATATGCTCGGTACCACTCAGTAGAACAATGTTTGGTACCACTAGGTACATGCTCGGTACCACTCGATACCGCTCAATACTGAGCAGGTACATGCTCGGTACCGTTCAGTACCTGCTCGGTACCGAGCCAGTACCGCTCGGTACCGAGCCGGTACCGAGCCAGTACTGCTCGGTACCGAGCCGGTACCGCTCAAGATTACTTATGAGTTCTTATGTGATATGTCATTGCTATTTCTTTTTGAAATTATATGTTAATGAAAAGAATACTGTGATTTGGGAAAGATAGAATTTGAGTTGAACTAAATTTCATGTTTTCTTATTAATGGGATATTTTGATTTCACTTCATATCTTGTGCATTTTTATATTTTATATAGTATTTACTCATTAGAATATACAAAATTTATCATTTTATGTTTACGCAATTTTTTGATTTTGAGGCTTACGCCTCAAAACGCCTTGAGGCTTACGCCTCGCCTCACTAACAAAAAACGCCTCAATACCTGATTACGCAATTTTAAACATTGGCCCCAACCACATCCTATGAGAAGTCTCCCCATCGACATTGGCATCCCCATGAGTCATCATCCTCACTGATGTTGCCAACCTCATGACACCATCTAGGAAGATGTCACACCCCAAGCAAATAGTTCCCCAATGCTCTAAGCATAGGCCCACGGCCGCCTTTCCTATCCTCGTCAAATCTGATGTCCTAATCCGTATGTAAATTATTTTTTAAGTTTAATTGTAAAGTTATCCACTCATACTAGTTGCCCCCTTCGAGTTCGTTGGCAAATTTCTCGGTCGTAAACCCTCTCTTGATGTAATCCGTAATTTCTTCTTCAACCTCAATCTTATTGGTGATTTCTCGATTACTTTGCTCAACCCGAAGCATGTGTTGATTAAGTTTTTTATTGATTTTAATTATTGTAGAGTGTTCTTTCACCGTTCTTACTTTATTAGCATTTGCTTCATGAAATTGTTCAAGTGGACTTCTGTTTTTGACATTAAGGTGGAATCCCCTATTACCCCTATTTTTCCCCTATTTGGGTCTCATTCCCTAACCTTAGATCTCACCTCTTCTACCCCCGTATCCTTCACGATCTTGGTTCCCTGTTTGGCCAGCCTTTAAAAACCGATAATGCTACCTCTTGCGGCTCCAGGCCCTCCGTCGCTCATGTTCTTGTTGAGTTAGATGTCAATAAACACTATCCTGATAGAGTGTTGGTTGGACCTGAAAATTTGGATTATATTCAGTATATGTTTATGGAGGATTTTCCTTCCTATTGTGCTCATTGCAAATCTTTGGGGCATTAGAAAATGGATTGTCATATTTTACACCCCAAACTTGATAAAGCTCCCTTAGTTAACTATCTCTATTAATGTGTGTGATAAGCCTAATAATGATATGCTCGACAATGTTTGTTATCCCTTGATTCCTGTTGGTGATGCGGGGCAGTCTATTGAGCCCATTACTTTGGTTACGGAGGGACCTAGCGCTCCTACTGGCTGTGTTGCCTAATATTGTGGATGTGAAAGAAAAAAGTGCCTTTTATTAATGTTTTGATTTATGTTATTTCTAATGATGCTTTGAAAGCTCAATTGGCTTTGAAATCTAATGATACTTGTGTGGATCAATTTGATTGGCTAGATGAATGTCATTTTTCGGCTAGCTGCTGTGGTAGAGAAGACAAGAATGAGCCTGGGGATTATTTTCAAGCATTATATGGCTTGAATGTGGTTCGCACCGCAAAAAGATTTCGAGGGTGCTAGTAAACGAAGTAGGAGAAAATAAAAAAAGAAGTAATTACTTTTGCCTACTTGTTTCCTTGTTGTGTTGTTGTGCATCCTCTGGGATGGCTTGGTTCTTTTGGTTGGTTTGGTTTCTCGGCTATGGTGGATTTGTCTGTCTGTTGTGGCTTTGGATCCCTCTTTCATGGGGCTTGGCTGTGGGGTTTGGTTATTCAGTTAGGGTGGTTTTGATTGGGGGTTTGGGTGGGTTTTTTTTTTTTTTTTTTTTGGGGGGGGGGGGGGGGGGGGGTTTCTCTATGGTGTTTTGGTTGGGGTTTTGGTTCTCGGCTATGGGGTTTTATTCAGGCTGGTTGGTTTGACTGTTGGTCTTGCCTTACCTTTCTCCTTTGGGGTTTGTTTTGACATTGTTTCTTTTATTCAATTCATATTCTTTTCCGTTGGAGGATGTTTTGTCTTGCAGGTGTTCGTATGGTTTTTTCTTGCCTTTTCTGTCTACTCTAGATGTGTTGTTTCTCTACTTCTAGGAGTCTATGCTCTCTCTGCTAGTGTCCTTGAGTTGGGTTGGCTTTTGGCTCCTCGTTTGTTTTTTAGCATTTATTTTTGTTTGTTGTATTGTTATATTAGTTTTACTTATAATGTAGTATTTTTAGAGGGCTCTTGATCCTTTAAAGACTTATGTCCTTTTATTTATATTAACATGTAGGCCCCATCGTGGGTTTTATCCAAAAAAAAAAAAAAAGTTTAATTGTAAAGCTTCATTTTACAGCAGAGAAAAACCAAAAGCAATTCCCCAACTATTAATAAGTACCTAATTTAGTCTCAGAGTTTCATAATGCCTTAACTTAATCCCTCAACTATTATAAATTGATTTAATTGAATCTCTCTATCAGAAAATATGTCAAGTGTAATGGAATATTCAACAAATATCGTGCTTTTCATAATCTAAGGGGCTTGTTTTAGTAGAAATTAAAAAATATATATAATAATGCAACTCACCTCATTTTGAAAACATCCTACACAAGTGTGAGATTAGCGGTGAAGGATTGTGGAGTTCCAAAAGAAAGGTGAATCATTGAAGAGACGTGTGGCAAAAATCAACGAGCAGCATGTGGAGATCTTCGACGAGCGATGCATAGCATGCATCAATCTCTGACAAGGGTTTTGAAATTTTGTAGCAAACAACACCACTTTTGTATAAGAATTTTAAAGTTTTGTAATCAATCATAATATTTTTTATAATAATGATTTTATAGTTTTGTATAATCTACTATTTAAATTTTACTGAAGAGATAATATTCTTTTATTAATTATTCACCTTTATTATTTAGTATATTAATTTTTATTATGATTTATATATTTATTATCGCTTATTAAATATTAATCTCACATACACTTGTATTATCTAAAATATCCTCACATTTAACTTTGATGTTAACTTCAACTATTATTTTTGTTCATAGGATTAAATTGGATCAATTTTCAATAGTCAATGGACTAAATTGGAATAGCATAAAACTCCAGTATTATATTAGGCAATCGTTAATGATCAAGAGAATATTTGAGCCCTTTCTCTTTTCCAGCCAAACAAACACAAAATCATTTTCATCAATTTATTTTATAATCAACAAACTTTAAGAAATCAAATTGTATTGTATTTAATTCACAATGAATTATCTAAATACAAGAAACCAAACAACCCCTATAGTTAAAAGATAATCTATATAACATCCAAGCTGATAGAAAATTTTCAGCGTATCTTACTTGTGCTCTGATGGATTGGGGTAAAGTTCATACACAACATTTGTCACAGCATCTCTCTTCAACTGCACAAGTGGTGGTTGAGATACTGGCATTAGATGCAAATCATTCAAGAAGTATGTTTACCATCAGAAGATTAAAAAAAAAAACATTGAAATACCTGAGTAGCTTCCCCACGTAAACCAATATAGTATATCTGAGTTGCATTCGCACCAAAGTTCTCAGGAAAATGCAACGTAAGACTGCCCACACTTTGAAATCTCGGATATCTGAACAAACGCGTTGAAAGCATTACTATAGTCAAAAGTAGGCAACAAAAATAAAAATTGATACCATCGTGAAAAATATAAAGCCAAGATGGAACAACAATTGAAAACACTTTTTAAGTGTTTGCAACAGCGGTTCACCCATTTGAAATAGAGAGCCAGGGGTGTTGTGTAACACAAAAAAAAAAAAAAATCTACCACGGTTTACCTAAGTGCGGGAGAAAACAACTGAGTTCGTCCGGTGTGAGGGAAGAGGATGATTTAAAAGAGTTTGTTTGATTCAAGTGTGTGAGAAGAAGAGGGTGCGTTCAATTCGATTGAGACCTAGAGGCTACAATTTGGGGTAAATATCAAGTAGTTGAGCAAGCAGATTTGGATGTGGGAGAACAATCGAGAGCAAGCTACAAAAATAAATGAGTTTAAAAAAAAGGGAGAGGGAGATGTTCATGATAAGCAATTGAAGTTTCGCATAAGATAGTGCCGAGCTTTAAGAGATGACATTGATGTCACTTCAAACAGAGAAATTGAGCAAGGTATCAAGTTTATATTTATTGGTTTTCTTTAGATATGAAATTAGACTATCAAATTGGAATATCTATTATTTCATACTAAAGAGCTAGTTTGATGTATAAATCACAGAGAAATTGTGTCAGAACTTCTAAGGGCTTTTTGAACATGTAGGTAAACTTAAATAGATGTTGTATTTCTTATATAAATTGGGTTGGAAGCCATAGATTTATTAATTTCATTTTATGAAATCCTAATCAGGATTTATGTGAGAAACTAGTGCAAAGCTAATGAAAGAAGACTGGTAGAAAAATATTCAAGGAATATAAAGTAAATAGTAATTAGGAAATTTAGTGATGAAATTGGATAGTAAAATCAGTATTTTATGATGAATAATGATTTTTTTTTTCATGTTAACATTAGATTAATATAAAAGGTTTTAGCTTTCTTAGTGTGAAAGAAAAATGGTTGGAAAAGACGGAGGTGATTTCATGACCGGTAGAATTGAGGTAACAAGCTAAGAGATGCATTTAAATATCAACTAGTGAATCTTCAGAGTAAGGTGGGTGGTTAAATTTTTATATTCTGGCACTTTGCAGCTATTGTATTAAGCATAAAACACTAGTGACATAATTGCCCATTAAATATTGTTATGATTGGCCGAAGAATAGTCACTCTTTTTTATGAGGACATCGACAGACGCTACCGACATGTTTATCGCCGGCGAAACCGCAGATCGACGGCCACGATTCAGCGCCTCTACTTTTGATTTAGATGTCATGATGTATTTTATTATTGTCCTGTTTTATTTACGGTCTTTCCATTTTACCCCTGTGGGGAGTTATTTTATCATTGTAGCCCAGAGGGAAATTTAGTATTTTCGCTTTGTATGAGTTGAGACCTATATATAGTGGTCTCTTGTATCATTTTGAGCTAATGAATGTTTGAATGAAAAAATTGCTTTTGGTTTCTACTTCTTCTTGCATGAGGGCTTGAGAAGGGAGAGAGCTCAAGGGGGAGCAAAGCGCAAGGCCCACCAGTTGTTGGAAGAGTCCGCAACTCGTGGTTAATTAAGTTATCTTCTTGTTCCTATCCCCTACCATCATTTTCTCCACCTCCACCACAAAATTCCACCCCTAGTCCCTTATTGCCGCCGGCCTTGGAAGCTTGCCGTCGGCCATCACCCAAGTCCCGGCCGGCCACTTCACCGGTAATCCCTCGTCACCCCTCGTCTGCTTGCCCCGCTCCGACTTCCGCCGCCCATCAAATTGTAAATTTGAAATTTCCAAATTCAAATTTTTCAATTCTTTTTCCTAATTTTGGAATCCCCGAGCGGGTTTTAGGAAAGTTTTTTGATGATTTGCAAGTTTAAAATTCAATTTAATTCTATTTTGGAGTCATGAATAGAGATACTGCCAGGCGCATCATCATTCCTAAATGACTTGTCGTCCCTTCTCGGAATCCGCTCCTCCGTGTGGGTTGTCTTGTCGGGGGGATCGCTCCTCTATGCATTGCTCGCCGGACCCCACTCATGGAAATTTTCCCATTAAATGATAGTTTAATGCCTTGACCGTTTTGAAATTCCTAATTTTGATTTCAAATTTTTCCTCCCGATTACTAAAACTGAAAATTAAAATTCAGTTTTATTTCAAAACACACTATTTCCCCCCCCTCTAATCATGCCGCGGCCACCCTTGATGAAGGCCCCCTTTATTTGCTCATTAATTCTCCCTTACTTGCATTTGAATTTGAAATCCTCTCAATTATTCCTCGCAAATATCACATTAGATCTGAAATTTATTTCAGATTTAGGGCAGGAGTTGAATAGGTTATTTCCCCAAACCTAGCCCCTCATTCTTGGAACCGCCGCCCTTCCCCCTTGGGAAATCCAGCCTGGCCCTTCTTCATACCTATCCTCCCATCTTTGGCGCAAGGGATGCCTCTTCACATCACTTAAATATCGGTCCTCTTTGAAAGATTTGCCTAAATCGAAGCCATGCATAGCGGATCCGGAGCTTGAGTTGAGTCCTTGTGTTCAAACGCCGACGGAAGCATCAACTCCTACGATCTCCGTGCTGTCGACGTAGGATTTGAAGACTGAAACCGACCGTGGATAGAATACTTGGAGAGAGTCGTCTCGATCCTGTGCAAGCATCTACGACCGATCGATTTTCAAAGTACAATTGGAGCTCGACGGCCCACTTACGACATCCCTCCTCCCGGCCGGTTTCTTTCCTCCGACGACAGTTCTTCGGCGCCTACTCCTCTCTTAGTGGTAACTCCTTACTCGCTTAGATCATTCTAATCTCCGCTAAAAGCCTACCAATCTTTGAAGTGAGACGCCGCGAGGTGAAATTCTCGTGTGTATAGAACGTTTGGGATTTTGTTAATTGTATTTGCATTTAAATTCTCTCTGAACTTTTGAAGAATGATATGATTTGATTAATTCTCTAATTGCAAACTTTGGCCTAAGCAAGTTATACGTTTCCTAATCCTTAACCCTATCTTGCATGATCAAAATAAACTTAATAATAGCGAACTTAACAATTCTCTTTTCTAATTTTTTAATCGTAACTCCTAGTAGTTTCAACATCATATTGGTATCAAAGTAATAGCAAATAATAAATTTATGGTTGATCATAAAAGAAGAACTAAAAGATTTGAAATTGGAGACTTTGAGATGGTTCGGATCCGTCCGGAGCGTTTTCCCTCCTGGATCTGCAAAAAGCTGCATGCGAGAAGCCGCGACCGTTCAAGATAATTTCAAAGGTGAATGAACAGATGCTTAGCAGTACTAGACCTTTCGTAGGTTTCAACATTAATCCCACATTTAACATTAGATAGATTTAGTAACCTTCGAGGGACCAGAATTTAACCCATGCAATCCACTTACAATGAAGCCTTGTGTGACATTGACCTGGTGGCATCCCAACCTTCTCCACTCCAGATTTACCCCTTACCCAATGCGGAGATAGGTGAATCCATATTAGATGATGAGATTATTCTACGAAAGGAGGCGGACGTCGAAGGTACTTAGTTCACTGGAAGGGAACCCCGACGCGGAGAATACGTGGGTTGACCGAGAGGAGACTGCAGAGTCTAGACCCAGCCTTCAGAGTGGAGAGAGCTCTAGAGACACTCACTCGACAGGGGTTCGAGTTTTCTCCCACCTGGGGAGAATGATGAGGACATCGAAGACGCTAACCGACATGTTTATCGTCGGCGAAACTGCAGATCGACGGCCAACGATTCAGCGCCTCTACTTTTGATTTAGATGTCATGATGTATTTTATTATTGTCCTGTTTTATTTACTGTCTTTCCATTTACCCCTGTGGGGAGTTATTTTTATCATTGTAGCCCAGAGGGAAATTTAGTATTTTCGCTTTGTATGAGTTGAGACCAATATATAGTGGTCTCTTGTATCATTTTGAGTTAAATGATGTTTGAATGAAAAAATTGCTTTTGGTTCTACTTCTTCTTGCATGAGGGCTTGAGAAGGGAGAGAGCTCAAGCGCAAGGCCCACCAGTTGTTGGAGAGTCCGCAACTCATAGTTAATTAAAGTTATCTTCTTGTTCCTATCCCCTACCATCATTTTCTCCACCTCACCACAAAATTCCACCCAGTCCTTATTGTCGCCGGCCTTAGAAGCTTGCCGTTGGCCATCACCCAAGTCCCGGCCGGCCACTTCACCGGTAATCCCTCGTCACCTGCCCGACTCTTTCCCCAATCAAATTTTAAATTTGAAATTTCAAATTTCAAATTTTCAATTCTTTCCTAATTTGGAATCCCCATTTAGGAAAGTTTTGATGATCAATTTCAATTTCAATTTAATCTATTTTGGAGTCATGATAGAATACTCCACATCATCATCCTAAATTAGAAACCTCTTCCCCTTAATTCCCCTCTCCTCCTCCAAGCATGCCGCCGGCTCCCTCATGGGAAATTTCTCATTAAATGCTATAGTTTAATGCCTTGGACCGTTTTTGAAATTCTATTTGATTTCAAATTTTTCCTCCCGAATTACTTAAAACTGAAATTAAATTCAGTTTTAAGTTTCAAAACCTATTTCCCCCTATAATCATGCCGCCGCCACCCTTGATGAGCCCCTTTATTTGCTCATTAATTCTCCCCTTAATTGCATTTGAATTTTGAAATCCTCTTCAAATTATTCCCTCCAAATACACTTAGATCTGAAATTTATTTCAGATTTAGGGAGGAGTTGAATAGGATTAATTTCCCCAAACCCTAGCCCCCTCATTCTTGGAACCCGCCTCCCTTCCCCTTGAAATCCCGCCGGCCTCTCATACCTCATCCTCCCCTCTTTTGGCGCAAGATCTCCTTCATCAATCACTTAAATCTCGTCTCTTTGAAAGATTTGCCTACATCAAGCATGCATGGCGGATCCGGAGCTTGAGTGGGGTCTTGTGTTCAACGCTGACGGAAGCATCAACATCCTACGATCTCCGTGCTTCGACATAGGATTTGAAGACGAAACCACCGTGGAAGAATACTTGGAGAGAGTCGTCCCGATCCTTGCAAGCATCTACGACCGACGATTTTCAAAGTACAATTGGAGCCTCGACGGCCACTTACGACATCCCTCCCGCCGGTTTCCTTTCCTCCGACGAAGTTCTTCGGCGCCCTCTCTAGTGGTAACATCCTTCATCGCTTGGATCTTCTATCTCCGCTAAAAGCCTACCAATCTTTGAGAGAGATGGCCACGAGGTGAAATTCTCGTTGTTAAACGTTGGGTTTTTGTTAATTGTACTTTGCATTTAAATTCTCCTTGAACTTTGAATGAATTGATTTGATTAATCTCTATTGCAAATCTTTGGCCTAAGCAAGTTAACGTTTCTAATCCTTAACCCTATCTTGCATGATCAAAATAAACTTATAATAGCGAACTTAAACAATTCTCTTTTTAATTTTAATCGTAACTCCTAGTAGTTTCACATCACTTTTCCTTAGTATAACAATTTTCAAGTTGGAAAGATGTTAAATGAAATGCATTTTTCTTGTAAAAACCTGAATAATCAAAGCATGATTGATAAAAAGAAAAAAGAAAAAAGAAAAAGGAAATTGCATGCATGTTAAATAAAAGAGTTCCATCCTTTTATAGTACTAACTGGAGATGCAAGGTACCCACACACATACAAATGGAAGAAGTTTGAAAAAAAAAAGTGGAAATGATAGTCCCTTAATTGATGCAAACTCTAGAAACTGCTCATGAGAGTTTTGTTCAATTAAAAAGTTATAAAATGATAAAATTACTACAAAATATTATCACATGTAAAATGATATTGTTGTGCTTGCAATAAGACCTGCTTTAAATTCCTATTAAAAAAATGTTCACTAGTTTCCTATAGATTGACATGCATTTGTTTCCTATTTTATAAATTGTTATAACATAGAACTGTGATTAATAAGAATATACGTGAAAAGCTGGGAGCAGAACCAGTGGCAAATAATATTTTAGAGAATGCTTCCTTATATGTTTTGATCCTAAAATGTCAGTCTTTTTTATGACCCTTTTAGGAGAGTAGATATATTAGATCTAGTCTATGTTAAAAGAGGCAGAGGTAGACCTAAAAAGAATTGGTTAGAAAGTATTAAAAATGAATTTTTTTTATTAAATTTAAATGAGAGTTTGACTCTTAATAGGATACAATGGATAAAAAAAAAGTCATAAAAGGCTTCTTGTTATTTTTTTTGTATAGAACTGCGATTAACCACTGATTGTATTGTAAAAACTAAACGTGTATCATTTTAAAAATTTCATGAAAAACTTCTCAAAATTAAATAGCTGGCAAAGAAGATTTCGTATAAAGTAGAAGAGTGAGAACAGATAATTAATAATTCTATGCATTTGATTTTAGTTCAAATTATCATGAAATCTTTGGTGTAGAATTGATTTTTAAATGATTTAAACTGTAGTTAATTATTTATGGCTCTTTATAATTATGAAAGATATTTTATTAGTTGTTTTATTTGTTTGTTGAGAAATTAAACTGCAATTCAAATGTTTTTTTCCAACATTATATTTCAAGTATTTGATCTAGGTCATGACGGTGTTCCTTTAAAGTAGCAATGTTGATCCATAACAGTGCAAAAGCAAAAAAATAAAAAATAAAAAACGATCTACAACCAAGAAAACCCGCTAGATGTTAATCTGCCAGCCAAAAAGCGATAGGAAAATTTGAAAGGGAAAAAACTGTCTCGTTATCATGACATAACTCAGGGCACAGAAAAAAAAATGCAACAGATAACAGTTAACGAGTCAATTCTTAACATCACATTAGACTATGAGAAGTTATAATAGAAAATACATATTGATGCAAAGCAAATACAAGAGAGATAAATCATATGTTACCATCCACCTGTATTTTCTAATAACTTGAATATTCTTTTACTTCACTAAAAATGGCAGCAATTTTTAAAATCACAGTAGGCACCTACAGTTAAAAAATTTAGATCATGTTCGAGCAATTTTTACCAATGGACACAAATAAATAGTAAGAAGATTCAGAAATCGAAACATACTATAATCCAATTCATGTAAAGCACTGAGTCCTTTTATACTGACACAATGACAATATCCAAGAAACCAATGCAACTATACCCAACTTTGATCTCTTTCAAATGCTCTCTTCATCAACATTTTCAAACATAATTCTGCTTAGATAAAATAAGAAATGCAAAAATTAATTTAACTGTGATACGTCACAAAGAGTCCAAATGGAATCCTAGAGGAAGCCATCACCAAAAAATATAGCCGTATCTGGCACTAAACAAGAATATAATTATCCACAGATGAAACGTTAAAGCAAACGAAAAAATTAATGACAAAATTTGCAGAACTTCAAAACATTTACCATTTCAGGGTAAGATGATGCACTTTATCAATCTTGGATATGTTAGGGGCATGAAGAATGGTTAACAACGTGGCAATATACATAACAAATATTGCAAAAATACATAGAAACAGCATAAAAATAAAATATAAACCAATGCTTACACATTAAAAACATCAAAAGTATCCATGAAATATTCATGACCCCTATAAAAATGATGAATGACCAAAATTTAAGCATGCCAAAACATATCTAGAAACATTCATGCCCAATTCATTCCTTTTTCAGGTACTGAAGATGCCATCAACATTAAATGGAAGGACATATCTGCCGCATTTATAGAAACATTCATGCCCGATTCATTCCTTTTTCAGGTATTGAAGATGCCATCAAGAAAAAATGGAAGGACAAGGAAACGGGAAATTTATCAGTTGGAATGAACCAAGACTATACCTGAAAGGTTTAATAAAATATAATATAGGGGAATTTATTTGGATTTTACCAGCCTACGGATCAAATTTAAGGCACAAATCACTTCTGCAAGAAGGATTATATATGATAGTAATGTTAGCTCCGCAATGAGGTGCTAGGTGATCTGGGTGTGAAACAAGCATTACAGATATAGCTCTTATAGAGCCCTTTATATTTCAGCACCAACCACACGAAAAAAAAATAAAGTTCAGTATTCAATAATACAAAGAATAGGAAAACAATGATCAATTCAGCTGCACATTAATCAAGATTAAATTTGATAATTTTAAGGATTTAGAAGGGCAGATTAGAAGATGAAAAAAAAAAATCAATCATGAGCACGGCACACAGGTAGAGCACAATTAAATGATTTAATCCTGACAAAAATTGCATCTTGAAAATAATTTCACACCTTGTCTGGTATTCTAGGATTCCTTGCAAATTCTCTGTCAGTTCCCACTCCTTCATAAAAAGGTGAAAAAGGATGCGCTTCAGTTAAATTAGGATAAAAAAAACCCATTCAACAATAAAGAGTATTTACCTGAACAGGTTGCATGTTTTGAGCATCAGAGAAATCAATACCATCTCGATTGATAAACCTGTTAAATTGTCTTATATTTTTAAGAGAACCAAAAGTTTTATAAAAAACCGATAAAAAGAAACTGCAGAAAAATTGTGCTTCCAGAATAAAACAACACAACAAAGAAAATCATAGCGGCTATGTTGCCTCCATTTTGAGCATGAGTTCAGGTCATCATCACAAAAATAGTTTCTCTGAAAGTAGGAATTAGATTGTGTGCATATATCCCTCCTTACAACCTACATTCGCAGGAGTTTCATGCTCTAGGTCATGCCCCCTTTTCTCTTTTTCAAACCATTGTGTTGTGCATATATGATAGGAAATACTTGAGTTCGCAAGTAACCCCAAGGGAATACTTGAGTTCGCAAGCAAACTTATCACTAATTGGAGACAAAACAACGAGAATTCAACCAAAATCTGGGTGAAATCAGCCCCAAATCACTAAATTGCAATAAGGGCAACAAAGCAAAAGCAATACGAAATCAAGATACAAGTGATCCTCAATTCGAGAGGAGGATCGTCTCTCCCAAATCTCTAGACAAGAGAGTCTAGAGCCCAAAACACCCAAGAAACTCCAAGAAGAAAACAATACTTGCATGCCCCTCCCTTCCTCTTTTTTTTTTTTTTTTTTTTTAATCCCCCCCCCTCCCCTTTCCCCCCCCTTTCCCTTTTTTTTTTTTTTTTTTTTAATGCCCCTCCCTTCCTCTTACCTCTCCTATTTAAAGACTTTTTCCACCTCCTCAAATCTTTCCTAAAAATAATTTTCAAATAAATTCAAATCCCGTGGACCCCACCCCTAGGCGGTAATTTAATTTGGGCAAGAAAGGAGGCGAGATTGCCTCCTTTGATATACCCTGGCCGGCCCTTCCTTCTTGGGCTGAGGCGGTTCAGGAGGAACCGCCGTAACAATATATCACAAATTAGCTGGCACATCATGCTATGTTGCACTATGCATTTTCCCTCAATTGGCATGCATGTAAATTTGATACAGAACCTATCAAGATTGGGGGTATGCAGACGTAATGCAACACAATGCAGTGCAATGTAATCAAAACAAAATGAAATGAAATGTTTGGATTTTTCCTTATTTTTATGCAAGATTGTTTCGATACAAAACATATAAATGACTTCCCATGTAAAACTTGTAGGAAAGCAAACTCTAAAGAGAACAAATATTAATTATGCTATTATAGAAAATATGGACAATTTGCCTAAGAATCTATTAAAAGCAATGAAAGTATTCACTGTTTCATACTTCATAGTAGTACAGGAAGTAATGAATATAAGGAAATTATGTTCATAGTAGTACAGAAAGTAATGAATATAAGGAAATTATGGGATGGTAATAGACGTACGCTCTCATTTTTGAAGGACTTGTTCCTTCGGCACCTCCAACCACAGAAATGCTCTTGATCTTAACATCTGAGGTAAACCTATTTCCAATAGATCATTCAACTTTAGAAAAAGCAGTTGCCATACAACACGACAAAGATTTTAGAAAAACTTTCTGAACTCCTTTATTGACGTATAAATGCATAACTTTCCAAGGTGGTCGAAAGCCAATTATCAAAAGGAAAAGTTCAGCTCAACAAAAGCAAAAGAGCAAAAAGTAGAAAAGGAAAAATTAAACTTGCAGCAACATGATATATGATAATTAAGATAGCAATAATGGTTCACTTCAATCTGTGAGGATGGCATAATAATTTTAGAGACTACCAAACTACTTTCCACTTCAAATCAAGTTCCGTAACAGAGATCACAAGTACGAGTATTCCTATATAAGTATATGCAAAAAGGAGGAAGTCTTTAAAACTAGACCGCATTTACAGCAAAAAATCACAGTGGTGAGCTAGGTATAGCTGGCATATCCGTACCACTTATACAAAAATATTCCAATTATCCAATGAATGAGAGAAAGCCACTCCCAAGTCTCCAAAGAAGAACTACACGATTACCTCCACATGCCTATCATCAACAAGAACAAATCCAAGGTGCAGTGATGCTGAACTAGATTTCTGAGGAGCTAATTTGGAAGCAAGAAAATACTATAGAGTAATTAAATTAGCACCTGCTTCCAAATTAGCTCATCATCTTCATCATCAACCATTGAGGCACTTGGCCTCCTGTATTTGCTGCAAAACATGATATACCTATGCTCTCCAACAGAAATTGCACCAGTGTATTTTTTCCTCACCGCATCGACCTCTTCATTCATACATTTGTTGATATCCTTTATCCATACATGTGCTTAAAGATCTTATTTGTGCATTCGCTTACACATATCTCATTGTTGATTCTCTGCATCTAATTCACAATACTCTCTCTTACCCAGATCACTCATCTTGCAACACTCCATAATCCCCAAGCAACAAATTCTTCAACTACTTTATCTCTTGTCACAAGAGTTTTCAAATTTAAGTTAACATCAACCATGTTACCGTGAATTTGTGGGGAAGTGCTACTATATCAAAATCATCACATGGTTTAAATTATTTATCATATAAATCTGCACTATTTATTATTAAGGATATTCTTATTTATTATTATTTTTTGTTATTGCCTTTACTTTTGTCTAAACATAGACACAAATATGCTTATATTAGTAAGACAAATGCACAAAGATGAAGTCCTTTACAGTTCTTTCTGTAAAACCCGAAAATGACGTCTAAGACCTCGCACGCTTTTTGAAGCGTCGCGATGAGATTTAAGTGAAAAAAAAATTCGAGGTTGTCGGTTTTCGACGGGAATAATTTTATAAATTTGAGCGTAAAATTCCGATCAATTTGGTATATAGGACTTGTATCTAATTTCGTTTAAATTAAGAGATATAATTTTTTAGAAGCTCATTAATGCCCAAACTACTCCTAAGCTTTCTAAAGGTCGAATCTACTTAAGTGAGGGCATTTAGGTCTTTAGGCCTTTTCCATTCCTCTCTATTAGGCAAACCGAAATCTCCCCACTCTCTCCCATTCGCCCGTTTTGCCAAAACCGAGTAATGAATGAAAGAAAAAGAAAAGGTTAATGTTGGAAAAATTGTAGTGGCTCTTTCTATGTTGTTGATGTTTAAATTGATGTTATGTTAAATTTCTTTTAACTTTTACGTCCGACCTCTGTTCCCGCCTCGCACTTACGAGCTAACCGGGCCGGGTCGTGACACTTTCTCCCTTTTAAAAAATACAAATAACCGAGAATAGATAATATTAACTATCAAAAAATAACTAGATCAAGTTTCAAATTTTTTAACTATCCATGAATAGAATAATGAATTTGAACCCTCTAATTGCAACAACCATCCTTATCATTTACAATGACCAAGAAAATTTTGAAAATTTACTCATTCCACACGTTCAACACTCTATTTCTTTATTTTAATGCTTCCAAAAAAACCATATCAAAATTTCTACCATCATAACCTAATATCTACATCCAATCAAACCTTCACGTTGTCTTCCCACAGCTCAACTACATAGTTTTCACTCAAGGACATTTGATTCATTTGCAAAGGAAAAATCCAATGCTTAAAGGACTACTATGGGCTCCGAAAAATTGGGCGCCAACCTCCCCTACTGCTTTTTTGGGGAGTTTTAATGGATTAAGTTCCGGGGCAAATTTTGGGAAGGCAGATGGGTTTGTAGATAAGACACTACCCAGAAATTTTGCCCTCATTTTGCAAGGACTACATGATCTGGGTTTTAGTTTCCTATAGGCGCAAGCCCCTTTAAGTAATTACCCCTTCCGATCATGAGAGAGAACTTTCGATTAAGGTTAGTCGTCGATCATATATGTAGGAATATTTGTATCTGGCATATAGTAGCAGCGTGGGCATTTGAAAATGTAGAAAGTTTGATATTTAAAATTCAGAATTTCATCATCTTGTACTTAAAGCGAATGGTGTGGGAATGGATGATGTACCCAATCAAGATCCCATGGTTCCGTCGTCCCGGGCTATCATGGTCCTTGGTCTACTTAGTCAGAGGAGGTAGTCGACCCAACCTAACAAAAGGATCCTTGTCGGCAGTCATGGGTTGCTTCGTCTAAGGGTACCTTATAGACCTGGTGTGAATGTTTGTCTAAGGGGACAAATTTGAATCCACCTTAGCTAACAGAAGGTTTTGTGCCCTATTGATTCATATCATAAGGATTTGATACTACTAAGAAACATATTGGCTCTAGCCAAAACCATAATTTAGTGGTGCCATTTGGCGACATAACCACTCAGTTCAGAGGGTCTAGTGTCATAATCGTTTATCCTGCATTACCATCTAATGGCAAAATCGCCGGTCAAAGGACATGTACCGCATCCTTACTGGCAGGAGATTATTTGAGAATGGATACTATTGATTTTTTTGACTAGGCATTAACTCAATGTGAGCATAAGTGATATTGAATTTGTCCACCCGGCAAACTATTGCGAAGGATAGATGGGATTTGCTTTAAGTGATTTGATGGATTATTTCAACTTTAAATATTTTAATCTTGGGATCTTCGAGATTTTGGTTTTTTTGGGTTTTGATGGGCATTTGAGAAAAATTTTGGATATTTGAGATTAACCCCTCCGGTTGAGATTCACATTCAACATGGCCATCATTGAGATGTACGGGTCAATGCTTTCATGGGTTGAACCTTGTCGACTCTGTCAACTTGCCAACAGAGGATCGGGTTTTATAGGCTTTATGGTTTTGTTAATGAATTTTCTTTGTTGGAGGCCTTATATGAACATATAAAATAGATATTCTGATCGACACCCTGACCGAATATATGTTTGATAATTCGAGCTGTGTCGACTCTTCTCTATCCATATAGAAGGATTGGGCTCGAACTACGTTCATTTATGGACCTGCGCAACATTCCTAAATATTATGTGTAATAATAACACGCTCGTTAGGACCTATGCGGGTGTTTGGGGGTAGGGATTTTATAATTATTTGTTAAACATTATCGACTCTTATTAACTTGCTCAAGAGGATTCAGATTAAATTTGGATTTATCATTTAAACCACGCAGCATCCCTACACATCACACGTGTTCCTACAACACGCTCGTCGGGACCCATTCGGGTTGTATGATTACACATGCCCTTCTGTGTACCTATGTGCATACATACTACAGTGCATGTGCTGGGGGGCATTTTTGTCATTTGAATACAGCATTCGATTTGGAGGCTCGTATATGCCTTCTGTCTGATTGTAGGGATGTTACGGATCCGGTGGCATCACTTCGTACTAGGGTCATTTGCCTGGTGCATACATGTAGACTGTCGTGCACTACTTGTTGCTTCCTGCAGTTGGATTGTAGTACAGTAACGAATCTCTTGCTTGTTATGATTGCATTCGCATAGTGCTTTTGTTCGTGATCATTGTTTTTCATACAAATCATTGTATTTGTTGTGCACCCTCTTCTTCTGTTGGTAGAGGATGGTGTATTTGCCTACAGTCGAATGATATTAATTGCATGAGAGTTGTATTCTCCTTAAACTATTAAAACACGCCATGTCTTTCAGTTCAACGCATGTGGAATCTCTCTAATTGTAGAAGACAAGTGTATTTACTTGTCACTGTCTTATTACAGGTTGTATAAGTATCTTAGTCCTTGTCATAGGCTCCTTGTATCCTTCTTGTAGATGACATGTTATGTGTATGGAGGAACTTCTACCACTGCTCGTACGAACTAGCATGTAGTGTATAGAAAAGCCCTACATGGGGTCCTGGTTGGGTACCCATTTTTACTCATGCTTTACTAGGATGAGATTCGCCCACCCACACCCACCAATGGTGACTTTCAGGATGTTGTACCCACCTATACCCACCCTCTTTCCATGCTTTTTGAATGTAGTCTGCCACGGATTAATGGCCTTGAGGCTTGTTTCCCTTTGCTCTGATTGCAAACTTTCAAGCTGCGTATCAGAATTTACCGTAGTTGCAACGTGGTTAAGTGTTGCACACCATCTAGTGAGGATTGTAGTAATAAAAGATATACGGTGATTAGCAATATAAATCGATTTATCTCCCGATGTTGAGTACCCAACCATAAGGCCATGGGTGTACCCATACCCATTAGGTATGGGTGGGTACATGGGTGGGTATGGGTATGAGTACCCAATGCAGGGCTCTGGTGTATAATGGGTATTCTACACGCACTACTTATAGGTGTATTGTTGCATGTCCCCCACTACCACTAATAAGTGGCTCGTTGTTGGAACTTCTTTGTTATTTAATGTATTTTCTTGTGGACAACATATTGAGTGAATAACATGTTTTCTACAGTAGCTTGTGGATGCTTACAATCATCACACGTATCATTATGTCTATTTGCAGGGGTCACCACCATTTGCAGGCACACTCAACATGTTCATCTTTGTGCCAGTGTAGACTGCCAGCGAATTATGTTCATTACTAACTTCCTTATGCATATTGATCAACAATTTGTATGCTCA